GCGCACGGGTAGTTTTCAAGCATCACTTCTCCCCCTCCCACTTTGCCCCCCAAACCCACACAGAAAGAAAGGGAAAAATAATAATAATAATTAAAAACAACCGAAGAAAAAGTACACGTTTTTAAAATTCAAAATGAGCTAGCAATGGCTTATAGTCCTAGTGTGCAATATGGATTTTACAAAGGCTAGAAGTTTTCCCTCAAAAAATTTTCCCCTATGTCTGTTATGTATGGTGGGGAGGGGGAGGGCGTTTCAGGATCTGACGGGGGGGGGGGACGACGATACCCCTTTCTCCCTAGAAATGTGGGTTTCCCTTTCAGAAGGCAGGGATTTATTTTTATTTTTTAAAAACTTTTCTTACCTGGGAGGTATCTGATTTTCCTGTTCAACCAGAAAGCCGTAATATACCGTGTTTCCCCGAAAATAAGACCCTGTCTTATATTTTTTTTTTTGAACCCTGAAATAAGCGCTTGGCCTTATTGCCATGCGCTCAAAAGCCCGATTGGGCTTATTATCAGGGGGTGTCTTATTTTGGGGAAAACAGGGTAGATAGATAGACGATAATGATATAGAAAGAAGATAGACATTAGATAAGATAGATATACCGTCTTTCCCTGAAAATAAGACCCTGTCTTGTATATATTTTTTGAACCCTGAAATAAGCGCTTGGCCTTACTGCCATGTGCCCAAAAGCCCGATTGGGTTTATTATCAGGGGGTATCTTATTTTGGGAGAAACAGTATTTATCTATCTCTACCTACCGTGTTTCCCCGAAAATAAGACCCCGTCTAATATATATTTTTTGAACCCTGAAATAAGCGCTTGGTCTTACTGCCATGCGTTCAAAAACCCGATTGGGCTTATTATCAGGGGGTGTCTTATTTTGGGGGGAAACAGGATAGTAAAGGTGGGATTTTGGGGGAGGGGGAGAGATGGTCAGGTTTAAAAACACCTTCCTGGCTCCATTTCAAAGGCGTTGGGGAGGGAAAAAGAGCTGATGCCCAGGGTCTTATAGGCGTCCTTTGGAAGCGGCAGATGTATCAAGCGGGGAAAAACATACTGCATGCCCCCAATGCCTCCTGGCCCTGTTGGGTGTTTCCCCCCCCCTGCTTTTTTTGGGGGGGCGGAGGGTTTGTCCAAAATCCTCCATTACGTAATATCAATATTATTTTTTACGTAAATTCAATATTAGATCAGGCAAGGCTGGGTGACAAAAATGGATTATTAAGAAACGGGGAGGAAAACAAAAAAACTTCAGCGCCTTTGCCGGATAGCTCTTATTTTTTTTAAAAAAATTGTTGTTTCTTCTCTTCCTAAACTGCTTCTGTAAAATGACAAGCCCAGAGTCTATCCCAGCACTTAAGCGTGTTGCTCGTCTTACACATTTCCCACTAATGCCTGCGTAGATTAAGTGCTTTTCTCCCGAATCGAACCCTGCGCCCAGAATGCTGCCAGATACGCCTGGATTAAGCATTTCCAAACAAAACCGTTTTTTTTTTAAATTAAAAAAAAACTTTTTTTTTTAAAGTGGAGGAAAAGACCCCCCAAAACTCTGGAACTGGGCACAGGAAAGAGTACGGAGTAGATAAGATGCACCGTTAACTCTGCTTTTCACCTGTCCCAATTGGGGTGGGTGGGGTGGGCGGGTGGAAGTCCGGGCAAGATTGTTTTAATGTTTTAAGCCTCTGCGGCAATCCGCATCCAAGGAGAAAGGGGGAGTCCAGGTATGTTTGGATGTGCATGTGTTTTAGGTGAACCCCCTGGGAAAATGCGATTTAATAGAGGTATCAGCCAGTGGTCCGAATCGCCCAGTAGCGGGTTTCAAATCCCGGGGGCTACTGGTTTGCTGTTGGGAGTGTGCTTTGCGTGCGCAGGGTGCTTTTGCACATGCGCAGAAGGTTCTGCCCATGCGCAGAGCGTTTTTGATGACGTCTGGGCAGAGCCTCCCGCCGCCGCTACCAGTTCGCGCGAACCGGGAGCATCCCACCACTGGAATTGCCCTTTTCTCTTTTGAATCCGGATGGCTGGGCAGCCTAACTGTCCCCTCTCCCTTTTTTTTTTTCCTTCCTTACCTTGCGTCCTTTCCGCGGCTGCTTAAAGGCCGCTGACCAAGACGCGGCCCCGGGGGGGTGGGGGTGGATTTTATTGCCAAAGACATGAGAAAAAACATGACAACAGCTTGAAAGTCGCAAAGTTTTGTAAACACGCACACACACGCACACACATACACACGCACACGTGTGCTACTCAAGTCTGGAGGACCGTCGAGTCCTCTTCTCAAGGTACCTGGGAGGGGGGAGGAGGGAGGGGGAAGAGCTCAGTCATGGAGGCATCATCCACCCTTTCCAGAGACGTGACTGCAAACAAAGAGGTTCCCATAGCACCGTTTTTGGGGAGCTACCCAAGTCGTTCAAACAAAAAAAGAGGACGCAGGGATGGATGGGAGCCGAGGGTTTTTGTTTTTGTTTTTTCTTATCTGGGCATCTCCCAATTGAGCTCTGCTGCGGTCGGTCGCTCCGACTCTTGGTCCTCCCAGCCTTGAGCCTTTTGAAGAGGAAGGGGAGCCATGCCACTGCCCGCCATCTTGGTTGCCACTTTTGGATTCAGCGGCCTTTGCCAAGAGGGGATCAGGCCAGGTATTTGCAGCCTTGCCAGGGTCCTCCTGCCAGGCCAGGCCAAACTAGAGGGAGACTTTTGACGTGCTGCCCTTTCGTGAGAGGGGTTGCCTTTGGCGGTTCGAATCCCTAGTCCAGGTCTCCTGCGCGAGCAGGGGGGGGTGGACTAGATGACCTCCCAAGGTCCCTTCCAACTCTTGTCCCTGTTCCCCAAAATGGTTTTTGCCACCCTTTAAAATACAATCAATGCTCTTGTGCGCCATCTTAACCAGCCACACAATAAAACCTATCCGCTATCAACGGGGGATGACGACAACCTCAACTGACTGTACGACAAACCGCTTTTGTTTTCTTTTAAATGCCAAATTGAAATTCTGAAAATACTGAGCGGCCCAGGTTTTTAGTCCGCGAGGGAGGAACTAGGTGGCTCGGGGGGGCTGAGACGCCGAGCTTTTCGATCAGAAAGGTTTGGCAGTTCGAATCCCTAGTCCAGGTCTCCTGTGTGAGCAGGGGGCCTGGACTAGATGACCTCCAAAGTCCCTTCCAACTCTTGTTACCGTTATTATTATTCCCTTTGCTCTCTTTTGCCTCTTGATAAAATGGATCGAGGCAGGAGGTTCTTGTAGCTAAGCAAAGGCCTTGTTTGTCAAGGCAGATTCTCGGAGTGTGATCTGAAACGGCTCCTTCTCGTCGTTCTAGCTGTAACTCTCCAATTCTTTCTCTCGCTCTATTCTATATATATCTATATATATATATATATCTAATAGCAACTTTTAAAGGGGGGAAAATGCAACACGGCCGTCATTTTCTGGGACACCTGAAGCGTGTTTTTTTGTTTTGCCATTTTCTTTTCCTTCCTCGCTAGCCTTCAATTTAACAAAAAGTTCCTGGATTACATTCGTCACTTTTTGTTTGCACCGCGAAGTGATTTCCGGTTTTCCTGGTTTTTTGTTTGTTTGTTTGCAGCCCAACAGCACAGACACAAGACACAAGGAAGAGAAGGGCCGTCGCCGACTGCAAAAACCTCGGCCATCAAGTATCCGAAGTGAAAGACCTCCGGGAGGGCTTCCCCCTGTCCCCCCCCCCCCCCCCCCGAGGCAAAGCAGGATCTGTTCCCTTCTGAGGGTAGGGGGCTTGAGCAGGTTCCTTGGCTGGGATGTGCCTGGACTTCTCCGCCCCCCCTCTCCGCTGTTTTGGGGGCCGGAGCGCTAGGTCTTCCCAGTCTCCAATTCTGGACTGGGAAGACTTGTAAGTGCTGGCCCCGGATCGGGTGCAGAAGAGCGAGCCAAAGATCCCCCTGCCTTGGCCGAGGCCTTCAGGGGAAGATGCCAAAAGGGGCCTGGGTCTCCCTCCTGCTCCTCCTCCGGCAACGGAGCCAAGATGGGGCTGTGCTTGAAAGACCTTCAAGGCACCGGGGGAGTGGGGGTGGGGAGCCTGTGGTCAGCTCTTCTCCCCTTTCTGCAGGCTGGCCCCTTGGCTTGGCTTTCTCCCCATCCTCCGGAGGTTGGGCTGCTTTACAGCTCCGCCTCCTTTCCTTCAATGCCCCGCCCTCCCCAGCCAGAGGTCCATCAGAAGGAGACCCTCCAGCTCCGGGCGTGAGGCTCACATTACAAAGCAGTTCCTTCTTCCTTAGAAAAATTAGTAACTTATTACTATTATTATTATTATTATCACCGTCCTTATTATTACGACCGATATTTCATTCCCCAGCCTGGATCGATTTGTCTCGTGTTTTCCCCACCTCTTGTTTTTGTTTTTGTTTTTTTTGCTTTTCTTTTAAAAAAAAAAAAAAAAAAAAAACAAAAACTGTTAATAAATCCCCCTGTTCAAAGCATTCCCACCTGCCTGAGACTCCCGTTTCTCCTGTTCATTTGATGCCGGAGAAAAGGGGAAAGAAAGGAATAGGAATATAAGTGATACCGGAACCCACCCCGTCCCCCTAATTCCACCCCCCCGCTTTCCCGGTGGCAAAAGGACTCGGCTTGCAGCTTAGCAGAACCTGATCCAGCTTTGCCGCTATATATATATCTATATCTACATCTATAGATATATAGATATATCTATATTTCGTATGACTTAACGCTCTTCTTCCCGCCTCGTATCCCCCGCCAGATGCTAGCTGCCTGCCCCCCCGCCCGTCTCCCTGAGAATGGGAGGAGTATTAGAGGACAAATGAACACACACCGGAGTCGAAGGGTTAAAAACCGTTCCCGCCTTCCCACCTCCGCAAAGAGAAGGGGGCAGGCCGCTTCCTGCCACGGGGAGCAGCACATCCATCCAGAAGCAGGAGGGTCAGTCCGTCTGCATCACGAGACCACCATGCTCTGCCTGCTGCCCCCCCCCCTGTAAACATGTGCACCCCAACAGATGGGTCCTCCTGCTGCCCCCATCCCACCCCACCCTATCCCCAGGATGCGGCTGCTGCTGCCGCTGCTTGCTCCTCTCCAGCTCCATCATATCTCCGTGTCGTGTGTGGTCCAAGAATCAGTGCTTCCCTCCGCCTCTCGCGCACCTTCAGGGATAGAGTCGGTTTTGCTGCTCGCTGGCCATTCTAGCATTCGTTCTTGCCTCTCCCCCCTCAACAGAGCAAGGTCTCCTGTTCATGCAGTTTTTGCTTTCTCCACTCGCCGAGGCCAAACCCCCACGCCCACCGCTGCTGTGTGGCTGCTCCTTAAGGGGCCGGGGCTGAGGCTGGCTCGCCGGAAGGCGTGGAAGCGTCTCTGGGATCCGCGGTAGAGGAAACGGCCTCCTCCAGTTCGCTAATGTCTTTGGCGGGCAGGCCCTCCCCGTCAGGGAGCGACTCTTCCGAATCGGTGTTCAGATCCTCTTCCTCCTCTTCCTCGTCTTCGTCGTCCTCCTCATCCTCCTCTTCGTCGTCATCCTCCTCATTCATTTCCTCCTCCTCCTCCTCGTCATCGTCGTCGTGGGAAGAGTCGTCCTCTTCTTCCACGTTGCCGCAGCTGGCCAGGAAGCGCTTGCTGGCGGCAGGGGCCAGGATCTCCCCTGGGGCGGAAGGGAGGCCGCCCATGCCCTCAGGGGGCTTCTGGCTGAGGTCCACGGAGTCATTGAGCCCCACGCCTGCCGCGTTCTGCAGGAAGAAGAGGGAGCTCTTGGCGTCTGTGCTCAGGTTGAGGGAGCTGTCCAGGTTGACGGAAGTGCTCTGGGCCTCGTACTCCATGGGGGCAGCGGGGAGGCCCTCGGGCCCTGGAGAGATGGCCGGCAGCTCTCCCCGCTCCTGCTTCTCGTGCTTGCGCTTGTGCGAGTCCATCTGTGACATGCCCACCACGGTGTGCTTGCACCCGGGGTAGGTGCAGTGGAAGTGCGAGCACTTGAGTTTGTATTTGCACTCGGGCACTTCGCAGTCCACACTGGAGCTGAACTGGCAGAAGCCGGCGGCACTGATCACGTCCTGTTTGCCGTGGTGCTTGCGGTGGGCTGTCACTTTGGTGCTGTCGGTGCAGCGGAAGCCGCAGCGCAGGCAGTGGAAGTGCGTGCTGTTGCCGGAGAACTGGCAGTCGGGGAAGTGGCAGCTGAGGGAGGACTTGAAGCGCTTGAAGTCGTCCAGCACCAGATTGTCCACCCGGTCATGGTGCTGTGCGTGCTTGTACATGTGGGTGCGACCGCAGAATTTATACCCGCAATTCTCCCGGGTGCAGTGGTAGTGCGTGACCTTGAGGGAGAACTGGCAGTTGGCGTCTTTGCAGTCCTCGTACAGGTCGTACCGCCGGAAGCCCTCCAGCATCATCCCCTCGTCCAGCATCTTGCGGGAGGAGGGCGTCTTGCGGCGCTTGCCGAAGGGAGACATGTCCTCGATGATCCAGAAGCGCTTCTTGGCCCCCGCGGCGGTTGGCATGGTGATGGTGTTCCCTGGGGAATAAAGGCAGAGTTTGGCATTGTGGAGAGGCAAACGCCCCCTTTTTTCTTCCGGACCCTCCCCCTCAGCATTTTGTTTTGGCTAATATAGCGCAAGTTTTTGTTTAAATTGCCAGGTTGCGGTAGAGCAAATCTAGGTCCTGTCTCTAAGCGAGACCCAGGAGAGGCGCCTCCTCTATGGGACGGAAGTCAGGGGTCCTTGGTGCTCTCTGAGCTGGCTTGTTTTCTAGCGGACGCTTCATGACCCTAACTAGGCAGTAGTGGGATCCTTCCGGTTTAACAACTGGTCCGAACCGGTAGAATCCCACCCCTGTAACTAGGTAACATGTTCAATGCTAATCAATGACTAGCACTGATAATGTTACCTAGTTAGGTTAACGAAACGTCTACATGAAAAGACCTGGATGGTCTCAAATCCTCTAAACTTTTTTAAGGTTTTGAAAAGCTGCTTCCTACTCCACCCATTTACCTTGGGGTTGGGCAGGAGGATCTGTGATTCCACCTGTACGGCTGAGTGTTTGAATGGCCTTCCGGAGGGGGGTGGGGGTTTGTTTTCATCACATTTCACCATTTACTTTTTTAGGATTTCTTTTGGTAGAAACCACGTTCCTCTGCCGAGGACTGTTCAGACTAGCACGTTCCCACCAGAGAGTGCCTTTTACACAGCACGCAAGATTATCTTCCTCTTATTGTGAGCGTTATGCTCCCCAGGACTTCCTCTAATTTTGGTCTGAATTCCTCTTAAGATAAGAAAAATTAAGAGATTTTTTTTAACCGTGCATCCGTCGCTCCTAAGTCTGCGTGTAGGAACCATTCGGAACTCGTGGCTGTTGATCATTTAAAGAAAATGTCTGGGGTTTTACCAGTGATGAAATTCAAATTTTTTTTACTACCGGTTCTGTGGGCGTGGCTTGGTGGGCGTGGTGTGGCAAGGATACTGCAAAATCTCCATTCCCACACCACTCCAGGGGAAGGATACTGCAAAATCCCCATTCCCTCCCCACTCCTGGGGGAAGGATACCGCAAAATCTCCATTCCCACCCCGCTCCTGGGGGAAGGATATTGCAAAATCCCCATTCCCACCCGACTGGGGCCAGCCAGAGTTGGTATTTGCCGGTTCTCCGAACTACTCAAAATTTCCGCTACCGGTTCTCCAGAAACTGTCAGAACCTGCTGAATAGCACCCCTGGGTTTTACGTGAGGCCCGTGACATCTTTGCTCTTGCAACCTTTTAGATGACTGGACATCAGGTGGGTGAGCCTGGCAATGCCAGGAAGCCAGAACTGGTCCAGAAGACAGCCGAAAGACCGCTGCCAGTCTGGAAGGCTGGTTATTGTTGGAGCCCTGGCCGGTGATGCTGGGGAGGGGAGGTAATGTTGGGGTAGCGTTACGAGAAAGCGGAGATCGGATTACCTGCTGCATCCTGCACTAGCGGGACGTCGCTTTTGACTGGACTGGCAAGGATGGGTGAGAGCCCTGTCGAGCTGGCGGTGGGCAAGGCAATGCCCCTGCTGGATCCCAGGGTGGCACTTAGCAGAGAGTATGAGACACACGACGGAGAGAAGAGGTAGGGCAGGGAGGGGAGGGGAGATCTGAGCAGGGCTTGTGAGAAAGAGGGAGGCAGAGATGGCGGTGGTGGTGGTGGAGCATTGTGGCTAACATCGTCACCAGCAGCAGCAGGAGGAGGAGGAGGAGGAAGAGCAGCCAGGCAGCCTGGAGAAACGTGGAAAGAAAAAAAAAATAGCAGGAAAAGAAAAACAAAACAACCACCAGAAAAGAAAAAAAAAAAGAAGGAAAAAAAAAAGAGGAAACAGGACCAAAAATAAGACCCCGAGAAGTGTTAAGCCACACGATGAAAAATGGAGGACACATTCAGAGGTACAACGACAGGACCAGAGAAGAGGAGGAGATGGAAAAGGGAGTGGTGATGAGCAGCAGCAGCACAGCAGCACGACAGCAGAAGGAGAGTCTCCGTGAGGGCATCCGGAGCACCCCAACCGGGGCAGGCGGGGCAGCAGGTCTGCCAGGGAGACGAGGGGTGTGTGGTGTATGAATGGTCAAATCGAAGTCAGGGAAGGACTGGCTCCTTCTCGGGCCTGGCTCATCCAGGGAGGCCCACGGCATTCCCCGGTGTAGGGGGTGGGGTGGGGGATGTCGACGGACACTCCAGCCGCCTCCCAGAAGTTCAGGCCCTTCAACGGCCGCTCTGGGCCGTATGCCTGTTTTGCAAGTGATTCATTGGAGGTGAACGTTAATCGATGCAACGCTGGAGATTTTCAGTCAAAGGCATTGACTTTCTGTCCCTGCCAGCGTCTTCGGGCCCGGCTCTCCTGGCTTAAGCTTTTCAGAGCCCTCGCACGTACCGGTTACCTGGCGAGGCTCTTTCACAAATCCCTCGTCCCGCCATGTGGGACGCCGCTCCGAGCCCTCCACGTTTGAGAAAGAAGACCGCCTGACCCAGAGGGCACAGCCTCTCGCAGGGTCCCAGCCCGGAGCTGGGGAGCTGTATGTGTGTGTGTGTGTGTGTTAGGACACTCACCTGCTGAGGTGCTCTCGTTGCCCACCGGGGTGCTGGAGCAGCTGCGGTCCATGTTCGACGACTCCGAGGAGATGGCGCCGGGGCTGCATCCCGCGTAATCGAAGTACTCCTCCGTCTCGGGGTCCATCAGGCTGGGGGCTCCCTGAAAGGAGGCAGGATTCCCTGATGAAGCCGGGCTGGGGGCCAGGCTGCTCACTTGTGGGTGGCTGTCATTTCTAGCAGTGTGGCCCACCACCTACAGCAAGACAACGGAGGGGGCAGGGGTGACTTTCGGGGAAAATCTGGCTGCTTTCTGCCTCTCTTCCTGAAAGCAAAGGTGGGGCCAAGGTTGCCTGGAGCTACAGGTATCTTTCCCCCTCCCAATTAGGTGGATCCTAACCTCCTGCCCTGTGTGGTGTGTGTGTGTGACACAGGAGACGCCGCACAGCCCTCTTACACTGCAAAGCAGCCCTTTCCGTGCAGGAAGGAAGCGGAGGACGCAGCGACAATCCTGAGCTTCCGCCTGAACCCCAAACGCTGCATTGCGCTCCTGAAATTTGGGGTGGGGTGTGTGTGTGTGTCTGCCCCTCTCCAGAGGCCTGTGAGAAACCGCTGAGGAATTGTGACTTTTAATATCCCACGAGGGAAAAGTCAGTAAGCGCATGGGGGTGGTAATCCCATTAAGCCACATTTAATTTCTGGAGCTCTAATTGAATTTTAGTTCGTTAAAACCAGAACTTATGTTTAGGTCCAGGCGTGGGGAACTTTTCGGAGGGCCAGTTCGCCCTTCATGTCCGCTGCCCTCCGGAAGCAACTTCAGATGCTCCTGGGGGATTTCACTGCTTCGCAGGAAGCTGTTCCTGTCCGACCCACCCCCTCGACGCAGGTCAGGATGCGTAGAGGGCAATTTGGGGGGCAAATGCTGGTGGAGAGCGGGAGCAGCCGGAGCTAGATGGCCCCACAGCCGAGGCTTTCCTGCTTACCGTGTTCCTAAGTGCTGTCCCTGAAAACAGTGAAGCCATGGCTGGGGGGGGGGGGAAGCGATCCTCTGGGGCAGTGATGCTATTCAACCAGTTCTATCAGGTTCGGGCAAATCGGTAGCGGCGGCTACGGGGGACTCCACCCACCCACCTGGACGTCATCACGTCCCGTTTTGGACTCTGTGCATGCACAGAACGTCCTGCTCACGTACGGAGGTGGCACGCGCGCTCCCATTTGCGAATCGGTAGCGAAGGTAAGTGAATACCAGCCCTGCTCCGGGGGAGTCACCTGAGTGGGAACGCGGTCGAAGTTCTTCCCCAGCATCCTTCTCATGTGCTTCCTGGCATGGGACGTCATCTGGTGCTTCAGCAGGAAGGAGAACTGGCAGCCCTCGCGGATGCAATGGAAGTGGCTGTTGACCTGGTTGTATTTGCAGCCTGGAAGGGAAGAGAAAGAGAGTTGCGAATCGCACAAGCCGGGCAACCAACGTCTTGGACTCAGGAGCAGATGCCGCCCCAGGGACGGGCCAGACGCTGCTCTTGGTCCGAGCTCAGGAGGAAAGAGCTTCGGAGCAGCTCCCCATAGCTGATTGAGAACCCCAGAGGGAAGGGAGCAGTGGCGAAATCCTCCACGGGTTGCCACCGGTTTGCTGCCCACACATGCACAGTGTGCACCAAATGCGCACCAAAAGGAGCCGTTTAAAGGTAAGTAGAACAGCAAGGGGGGGAGGAACAGCTGTGCTGCATGATTTAGATTTCCTGCTTTTTAGAGAATACAAATCGCGCGGCACAGCTGATCGTCAGAAATACCAGTCTCGACGAACCGGTAGATTTTATTACTACCGGTTCACCCAAACCGGTGCGAACCGGTAGCATTTCACCCCTGGAAGGGAGACTGTTTTCTGAGGGCCTCTGCCCCATAGCGATGGGGGCTGATGTGGGAGTGGGGGATGCTGGGACCCGAGTTTGGCATTTCCACGATTTGGGAATTAAATCTCTTTCTGCCCCCTCCTGAGAATTTGCCTTCCCATGTTTGCAAAACATCCGAAGAAGGCAAAGAGGGATGCCTCCCCTCCACACAAGTCGAACAAAGCAGGGAGATCCCTGAAAGGGAGATCGACCTGGGATCCAGCCCTAGATGAGCCCAGGCTGAGCAACGGCCCCCCAACCCCCACCCCGAAGCTGCCTGTCTCCTTTGCGGAGGGTCAACGAAGGTCAACGGGTGACCGAGAGGGACATTTCTGAGATAACCCAAATGACTTACCGAGAACGGCCTAAGTCAAACCCGGCTGCATTTAATTTATTAATTGGCAGGTTGAACAAATTAAAACTGATCAGTTTTTAAAGGGCTTAATTGGAAAGCCGTTTTAAATTTATGAAAATTACCGATGCCAGGGGCCGTCTTAAAAGTGGCGTTCCTTGTTTTGCACACGCGGGAAAGAGAGAGAGAGAGAAAGAGAGAGAGAGAGAGAGAGAAAGGCCCTCTCGGATGCTGCCTGCTATAACTTTTATTTAATTATTTCCAGGATTTATTAGTTGCCTTATAGCAAATACTCTCTCAGCATGACATACAATGAAAACACAAATAAAATCCAAAATCCATATACATCTCGTCAGAAGCGGCATAATAAAGCCATCAATTAAAAAGCAGCGGAGGTTAAAAAACAGGCACCAGCCATCCGTGTCGCCCCCACGACAAGCTCTAAAGCCCCCCCATCCTCAAAGCCAGAAGCTGCTTTGAAATGTAACCTGCCGGGGGAAAGACGGACATAAAAGGCCCTTGTGGTACCCCCCCCGCCCATTATGTACGGACTTGGATGTATTTGGGGGGCAATGGGATGAATTAATTGATGCAGAAGCCACGGGTTCTTTTTAAGACACGGACAGCTCTCATGCCAGCCTGCAAACCATGCTTTGCCACTGGAAGGGCATTGCCAAGTTGGCGTTTCTGGAGTTCCTCTCCTTCCCTCCTCCCCGCTTTACACACAATGCCCCCTCCCTCCAGCCCTGCCCCCTCCTTCCTGCTCTCTGCTCTGCTGGGGGCGCGTCCGGGATGACTGGCAGCAGGCAGGCAGGACAAGACTTGTTCGTTGCTGGGGCAGCCGAGTGTCGGGTATCGTCGGCTGGTTTTGTGTGGCCTGGCGATGTGCCGGACGGCAGCCAACCAACCGCCAAGCCTCTTGGCATTCCTCAGCCAGGAGCCAGGTAAGGGGCAGCCCAGGGCCTTGTTGTCTGTTGCTCCAGTTACAGCCGTGCCTTGCTATCAACCCCGGGCTAAATGCTTGATGGATTACAAAATTGAGTCTACGGAAATCCAGTTGATTTTTGGAAATATGAGATGGAGTAGCTTTCCCCCCCACCTCTCCTGGCCTTCTGAATCTTCTGGGGTGCTTTCGCGTGTACCCCTTGTCCTACCCACAGCCTTGAGTGGGGTTCAGGAGGGGGCAAGGATGCCAGGCACGCAAAGGGGCACCCATCTTTCCAGTTCCCTCCAGTATCCAGAGGTGGTGGGGTGAAGAAGATTTGGGGACCCCCTGGGCCTCTCCTGAATGAGCCGCCTCCTTTTCTCTTGTAGGGGGCCAAGGGGGGGGATAAAGACTGAACACCCTCCCCCCCCCCCGGGTTTCTGCAGCTGAAGCTGAGCAGCCAAGGGGGGAAGTGCCCTTCCGCAGACTGAGAAGCAGCCGTAGCCGTCGGAACATATAAACACATGTGGTGGGATTGTGATAGTGCACAAAAAAATACGGGACATGGTCAGTGGTGGGATTCAAGTAATTTAACACCCGGTTCTCTGCCCTAATGATTTCTTCTAGCAACCAGTTTGCCAAACTGCTCAGAAAGTTAACAACCGGTTCTCCCGAAATGGTGCAAACTGGCTGAATCCCACCACTGGACATGGTGTTTAGAGGAATTAGAGCACTTTCGAATGTAAATTTAGACATAGTCACCAAGAATTGCATTATTGCTGCTGGTGGAACAACGGGATATAAATGAAACAAAAAAAAAAGGAATTGATTGTAAATTTGATAATGGCAGCTAGATGAGCGATGGTTAAATATTGGGGACGGAAATTGGGATATTCAAAGGAATGAGTGGCATAATGAAATTTGGAGCGTGGCAACAAATGACAAATTAACAGCAGAAATTAAATTTAAAAAAGGGTTGATCAAAGCAAACAATTATAATGAAATAGGGGAGGGGGGATTTTATAAAATAAGTGTTGGTGGAAGGCAAAGGGAATAAACCTACTCAAGAATATACGTTGCTTTGGAGGGGATAAGGGCACAATTGTATATTGTATTTGTATATTGTATATTTTTGTATATAATAATTGTATATTATATTATATATTGTATATCTTTTAATTGGTGGCCAGCCTATCCGGGCACTGCCACCGACTGGGGCTCCCTTATTTTAACTGATAGAGGAACTGGGGCAGATGGGGGGGGGGAGGCTGGCCCCACCTTATTACTGGAAAACTCAGCTGCCAGCCACGCCCGCTGCCTCCGTGTAACTTTGGCCGCTTCGATGTGCTGCTGCTTCGCCAGGGAGTTGGCATCAGAGAAGGCAGGGCCGCCCTCGCTGCCAGCGCAAGCCCACGCCTAAGGCAGGGCCATCTGGGGGAATACTGGGACAATGTTACTATTCTGGGATGTCCCGGGTGAGCCTTCCAGTGTGAAAACCGGGCACTTGGCACAAAGGACTAGCAAGGAATGGTGGAGCAGTTTCTAATTGTTGGGTTTTTTTTTTCTCTCGCCCCCTTGGAATCTGACGGCCAGCAGAAAGGGTTTGTGCCCACTTCCAGGAGAAGGAAAGACGGACGGCTGGCTCGGCCTCGTCCGGCGTCGTCGTCACAGCCCGGGACTTCAATATTTGAGCTGCTTATCGGGGAAGGAGGAGCCGCCGATCAAAGGGACTAATTCAAGTCGAATAAAACTTGACAAGTTGAAAAACCCGTTTGTCTGCTTAAACTGCCCGAAAAAAAAGAAAGAAAGAAAACTGGAAGGAAAAGCGAGCGAGAGGCGGCTCAGGGGTGGCTCATCAGTGTCCCGCCATCCCGTCCCGCTTACCCAGCCTGCCGCATTCTTCCCGTTTGGTGAAGTACTTGAAACCGTTGGCGGCTCTCCGCTCGGCCTTCTCGTGTTTCTTCACGTGCCAGGGCAGCTTAGTGGTGATGTTGGTGACGAAGAAGCAGCCGGGGCGAAGGCAGTGGTAATGCCCCCGCATGCGGAACTCACAGTGCTGCAGGAGAGGAGGGAAGGAGGGTCAAGCTTGTGAGAAAAGCCTCCTCATCTCCAGGCCAAAGGACCCCCCCCCCAAAAAAAAACCTTGCACGAGAGCTGCTGGCCAGGAGAACTCTCCGGTGCCTCAGTTTCCCTGATACATGCCTCTCCCTTCCTCACATATAGATCTCTGGTCATTGAGAAAGCACTTCATCCCTGCAGGGTTTGTAAGGGGGGGGGCTCTGAATCTCCCACACTTTCTTCCCGATTCGCTGGCAAACACCATTTCCCTGCCCCACCCCATCCTAGACCCCCCCCCCAAGGCTTCTTGGAAAGGGGGATCTTTCCTCTCCCAGGTAGTCTTTGGCCTTGAAAATAGAGGAGCTCTTGCCCCACAGATTTGAGAAGGGCATAGGTAGAAGGGCATAGGTAGAAGGGCATAGGTAGTCCTTGACTTTTGACCGCAGTTGAGCCCCAAATTGCAGTCGTAAGAAGGAGCCTGAGTTGCGTAGGAGGATAATGCCTCCTAAGGCAGCATTTAACATCCAGCTGCCTGCAATTACTGCGAGTTCAATTCTCACCAGGCTCAAGGTCGACTCAGCCTTCCATCCTTTCTAAGATGGGTAAATTGAGGACCCAGTTTGTGGGGGCAATAAGCAATAAGCTGACTTTGTATAAATATACAAAAGTATGCAGGCTATTGCTTAACGCATTGTAAGCCGCCCTGAGTCTCCGGAGAAGGGCAGCATATAAATCAAATTAAAAAATAAAAAATAAAAGATTCCCATTGCTAAGTTGAGACATCGGTTAAGGGGAGTTGTGCCTCATTTCTCCACCATTCTTGCCACCGTTGTTAAGTGAATCGCTGCCAATGGTTAAGTTAAGTAACGCAGCCATTAAGCCAATGTGGCTTCCCCATCGACTTTGTACGTCAACAAAGTCGCAAGAAGGGATCGCGTGTCCCCGGGACGCGGCAACCATCATAAATACGAAAACCGGTTGCCAAGCGTCTGAGCTTTGACCACCTGAGCACGGGGATGCTGCAATGGTTCTAAGTGTGAGTAAAGGGTCATAAGTCGCTTTGTTCAAGTGCTGTTGTAACTTTGAACGGTTTCTAGAACTGTTATAAGTCGAGGACTACCTCTACCTGGTGGAGACCAGCCAGGACGGGCGAATCTTCCTCTTCTAATTTCTCACGGGTTCTCCCTCCATCCCACCCACACACAACCAGTTCTCTCTCTCTCTCTCTCTCTCTCTCTCTCTCTCTCTCTCTCTCTCTCTCTCTCTCGGGACCGTCCCGTGGGGCTTACCTGGTTTGGGCAGAGACACTGCAGGGAGTAATAAGCGAATTGATCGCGCACGTTCACCAGGTTGTTGTTGGGGTTGATGTGGTCGAGGCAGTGGGACTCGGCCTTCCCCGAGGTTTTGCACACGTATTTGCAGTTCCCAAAGAGACAGTGGAAGTGGAATTTGTTGGCATACTTGCAGTCCGTGGCCAGGCAAGGATCGCTGGAGGAGAGACCCAAAATGAGCCCTTCTGGCTTAACAGGGACGGCGTTGTGGTCTGTCGGCCGCTGGTCCCTTCAGCAACCGAATCGGAGGAGGAGGAGGAGGTGTGGGAGTCAGGGTCAGCATCAAGGCAACCTGAGAGCTCCGAGGGGGGAGAGGGAATGGAGCTGGCAGAGAGAGAGAGAGACGGAGGCGGAGCCTGGGCCATCCGTCAGCCCTCAGATGGAGAGTCAACAGCTCCTAGGTCTGGAGGTGGCTGATGAGGAGGAGGAGGAACAGCTGGGTCCAGTGCCTGACTACAGATGTGCAGAAGGCAGAGGAGAGGAGAGCAGTGGAAATCTATGGGCCGGTCCTTGGGACGGAAGAGCAACCACTGCTAGCGAAGCCCCCATTCTAGCTCTGGGGATAAAAGGCAGGGGGCGGAAATGAATAGATGTGGCAGACAACTATTCATCTTCCGGACGGACGGACTTGTCAGCCTGAGAGGGGAACTTTTTGCCGGGGCTGCCGGCGCTCCTAATAAAGGAATCTTTTGAGTTCACTTTAGAGGGTTTGTCGTGTTTGGGGAGCTGGGTCAGAACAGACGGTTGCCGGCTTGCCCTCCCAGAGCACCCTAGCCAGTTGGGGGCGTCCCAGTGACCAAAGGACACCTCGAGCTCAGGTCACCCAACCCTGGATCCCACATCGCCCGTCCAAAAGAGCCACTCACTTCTCTTGGAACTGGAGGAAGCCCGGCTTGACCTGAGGCTTGGCGTTCTCCAGGGAAGTGGTGGCCATCGGGGAGGTGGCCAACCCGGGCCCCGAGACAGGCAGCTGAGACATGGTGGAAGCCAGCTGTTTCCAGGCCAGGAGCGTAGGAGCGGACGGCACGCTAGCCGGACATGCGGTGGGCCCCTCGGCGGCCGAGGCGGTGGCCAGAATGGCGGACGTGGCGGATGGAGAGGAAGGGGGGATGGATGTCTTGCTCTCTGCCGGAGTCGGGAAAGCGTGCTCTGAGGTTCCCTTTGCGGCGCCTCCCTCTGTTCGGAAGTGGAAACTACAGAGAGGGGTGATGAGAGAGAGAGAGAGAGAGAGAGAGAGAGAGAGAGAGAGAGAGGCCCATCAGCCACAGATGTTGACAACTAGCGCAGCTCGTTCAGTTGCCCCATTTAGGTATCATTTAGTGGTCTCCTGCTCGTTTCTGAACAGGAGCTGTTAGTGGTGGCTTCTACTGAATTCCTAAGACTGATTCTGGGGAAATTCACAATTTTTTTTTTAAAATGTCATTATGACATACAGGGACACACACACACACACACACACAAATCATGCCTCTTTAGTGTTCCAATCAGGAAAGGCAGTTCACAAAGGCCACGGGAAGCCGGTGTCACAAAACCCAAGACAGATCTCACGGGTGTGTCCACCCCACCCACCCCAAATCACACAGCAGCCGAGGATATATCTTCTTCATTATGCCCTCGATCCAGGAAGCTGGGCTGAGCGAATACTGCCGTGTTCGGTCTAAGGCACTGCCTGTATCCACGATGAGTTGAAGCCACCATTGTCGGCTGGTGCTCGTGTTTCCCATTTCACAGGCGTGGAGACCGAGACCAAGAGATCGTTGAAGTTCGGTTGGAGATGTGACTTGAAGTGGAGGTGGTGGCCCTTTCAGCGTTATGCTTACAAGGAAGGAGCCGTGCCAGGGGGGGTCTGTCTGGGTCCAGGCAGGCCATCAACAATGCCTCCCCCCCCCTGGCAGAATTGGGGGGAGTGGAGACGGCGACAGATGCTTCTGTGTTTGTTTACTGTTTGTATATATTGGCTTTTTATTTCTGTAAACCGCCCAGACTCACCGAGAGCGAGTGGGAGGCCGTATACATCGTCTTAAACCTACACACAGATCCCACTGCCTGTGACCATCTCTGCCACCTCCATTCTTCCTTCTCTGAGGCCTGAAGGCAATGGTGGGTTTCTACCAGTTCGGCCCGGTTCGGGCAATTTGGTAGCGACGATGGTGAGCTGAGAGTGAACCGGTTCTCTCTGACGGTTAGGTTGGCCCTCCCGCCCGCCTCTGCGTTATACCTACCTTATATTTGGTCATTTTTAGCCCAGCTGAAAGGCGCGGCAGAGCGGATTGCCGCATCTCAGCTGTTTCGCAATACACTGCGCTGGCACGGAGTGCAAGTTTGCGAAGCGTGTGCATGATGCGAACTGGTGGTAACACTGTTGAAACCCACCACTGCCTGAAGAGATTTAAAAAGAACACACATACACACACACACACACACACACACACACACACACACACACACAGCCGCGAAGGAGCGATGCCTGGGACTTACTTGGCGTGCTTCACCGCTCCGTCCACAGTGCTGAAGAGAGCGCCGCACTCTTCCACCACACAGTGGAAATGCACCTTGTGCAGGAAGTCGCACTGGGCATCGCAGAAATCCTTGGTGCCAAACCTGCCAAAGGAGAAGGAGGAGGGGAAGCCTGAAACTCCACAGGGCATCCGTTCGGCGTGCCCTTGCACCCTGGGCTCTGCACCCCTCCCCGGTGATTCAGGCCCTTCCTTAGCCCTACCTGGAGGCCAAACTGGGACACACACACCCGCCCCCCCTCCCCCTCCAGTTGCCTCCTTGGTCCAGAGTCTCCCTCCTCCCCATTTTAAAGATGGCTTCCAATCCGCCGGTCTCATTTTGCAAGCAGCAGGAAATCTTCATTCTTGGCTTGGCTTCGAACGGGAGGCAAGGACGCCCCTTCCTTCGGCTGAAGAAGCATAATGGCCCGATTGATCGGGCAGATAAGTGCGGGACAAAGAGTGGGGGGGGGAGTCCTGCCGGACAAGGAAGAAGCTGGGCTATAATTTCCTAGGAGGGTCAATCTTTTAATTAACTGGTTGGCTTTGAATTGGCTGAATTTAAATACATTTACATACTGAAAAACACAGATGAAGGTGTCCTTTTCGTGGAAAAGAAAGCAACACCATTTCTAATATATAGAATGGAAACAGAATAACAGAGTTGGAAGGGACCTTGGAGGTCTTCTAGTCCAACCCCCCGCTTAGGCAGGAAACCCTACACCACTTCAGATAATATATATATAGATATATAATCTGATTTGAAAAAAAAAAATATATCGAGCCTTTTCTTACCATGGCTTAAAAAAAATAATAATAAAAGCAGTCTGGAGGTTGATTTTTATTTTTTATTAGTTCGGCCTTCCCTGGGAGTAAGGCAGCTGGAATTCCCCACAGATCTGGTTGTCGAAGGCTCGTATCTTTAAGGAGATGATCGTAGTGTCACACGCACAGAAGTCGCACGCAACATCAGAACCTTTCGGGAGGGGGGCAGGGGGGGAACAAATCACTTTTCAAAGACAGGAAGACCAGAGGAGGGGGAAGGGAAATGTAAATCATCGGGTTCTCCAGCTGGCATTTCTTAACTTGGTTAAGAGCCTTGGTAGTACAGTGGTCTAAAGTACCCTGTTATTAAGACCAGCTGCCTGCAATTACTGCAGGTTCGAATCTCGCCAGGCTCAAGGTCGACTCAGCCTTCCATCCTTTCTAAGGTAGGTAAATTGAGGACCCGGATTGTGGGGGCAATAAGCTGACTTTGTATAAATATACAAAAGGATGAAGGCTATTGCTTAGCACATTGTAAGCCGCCCTGAGTCTCCGGAGAAGGGCGGCATATAAATCAAATTAAACAAAAAAACAAAAAAACAAAACTCAGGTGTTTCCTAAAGAGGTTCAAGTACCGACAGTGGTGGTTGGGGAAGGTGGGGTTGGAAGGAGCCTTCTGGACTCAGAGGTGGGCTTCAAAAATTTGAGCAAGGGGTTCTCTGCCTGGTGGCTGGGTGGGTGTGCACCACAGCAGGAGGCTGACTTGGCTCCCCAGGCTCCGGAGATTTTCCTCGAGCCTCTGGTTGGGCGAAAACGGCCTCCCCAGGCTCCCGAGGCCCTCTGGAGGCCAGAAACAGGCCTGTTTCTGCTCTTCCCGAACTTCCGATAGGCCCGTTATTCGCCCTTCCCGAGCCTCCGCGTGCGCCCTGCAGTTACCTGCATCCAAAACGGGCCACGTGGGGACTCCTGGGAGGGCCGGGGTGGGATGGGCGGGGCCAGCCAGAAGTGGAATCTGGGGTTTCTCCGAACTGCACAGAATCTTAGCTAGAGGTTCTCCCGAACCCCTAGCAGCTCACCCTTGCTTTGACTTCTCCTTCTGCAGAGAAAGTCAGCTTGGTCTGAAGGCCGACTGGCCTGAATCAAACAGAATAACCCACAAGAAAAGGAAGAACTCAGCAAACGGAAGAAGAGATTGGACATTAAGAAGAGACCGGACAGTTTCCTGCCTGAGCAGCGGGTTGGACTAGACGACCTCCAGAGTCCCTTCCAACTCTGCTATTCTATATTCTATGAACTAAGGCAAAGGGCAATTCCAGGGAACGATGTGAGAGGGACTGGATGATGCTTCTTGAAACCAAAAAGCCCTGATTTTAGAATGCCAGGCAAACCCGGTTGGCTCTTCCAGGCTGGCTCTGAAATTTTTCAAATGCAGAGAACTCTGTCGATTCGACTTCCACTTTTAGTTGTGCTAAGCCTGCTTTACGCCCGTTGATTGAGGCTGTTTTTATTGCGGAGGTCTTTATGGAAGCTAAGGGAGGGTTAAATTCCATTAACGGGCAAAATAACTCGAGTCCTGGGAAGTGATGATGCTTGAAATACTGGAAGCTAACCAGGGCCCTGGCACTGTGCCCTCCACGCTGCTTTGGTGCCCAATGCAAGAGTCGCCCTGGAGAAGCCGTAGAGGGGCAGGGAAGGCTCCTTGCAGCCTGGCCCTGAGGCCTTCGGTGGGGCAGCGCTGGCCTCCAAGCAGCCCTTTCTCCTCCTTTGACCCAGGCGAGGTCTTCCTGCCCTCACCTGCGCAGATACATCTTCCAGGGCTCCGCGAGCTTCTCCTGAACCAGAGCCTTCACTGTCTTGCCCAGATACTGGGTGGCATCTCCCGCAGCTGCCAGGTGCCCGCCATCGCTCTCCCCCTTCAAGCCGAGGAGGTTCCCCAAGTTCGGGTTATTCTGAGACATCTGTGGGTAGAAAAGGGAGCTTGGCATTAGGGGAGAAAGCCCAGAACTTCCTGAGTGGATCTCTAGGAGAAAAGCCTTGAGCGGAGTGGCTGAGGACTCCTGGACTCGGCCAATGAAAGGAGTCCCTGCGGATTTTATTCCGCTAGTCGTTGCCGAATATAGGGGGTTGGCGCTCATCTCCGTCTCAAGGCCATTGAGCCAGAGCTGTCTGAAGACATTTCCATGGTCGTGTGGCGTGACGTCACGGAGCGCTGTTACTTTCCCACCGAAGTGGTACCTATTTATCTACTCGCGCTTGCAAGCTTTCGAACTGCTACTTTGGCAGGAGCTGAGGTGAGGAGGGGAGCTCACCCTGTCGTGTGGCGTTCGGGTCTCGAGCCCAGAGTTTTAACCCCCGATCATCAATTATACTCTCCCGGAGCAGTTCGAAGCAAGCTGCCTAACACCCATCATCCCCAGCAAGCTTGGCTTATTAGGGGGGGGATTGGTCTGAATGAATCCCCCTCCTCGTGGGTTGGGCTATTCCCCTCCTCTCTCTCTCTCTCTCTCTCTCTCTCTCTCTCTCTCTCTCTCTCTCTCTCTCTCTCTCCTGAGTCAGAGGAAGCATTTTGCTGATCCTATGACGGAAGGACAAGATCCTTTGCTATCATAGGAACCCTGGTGGTGCAGTGATCAGAATGCCGCATTGCAGGCTGACTCTGCCGACTGCCAGCAGTTCGATTCCAACCGTCTCAAGGTTGACTCAGTCTTCCATCCTTCTGAGATGGGTAAAATGAGGACCCAGATTGTTGAGGGGCAATAGGCCGCTTAGAGAGGGCTGTAAAAGCACGGTAAAGCAGTATATAAGTCTAAGGGCTATTGCTATCACTTCCAGTAAGGTGGTTAATGCTAGCCTTAATCAGAAGCCAGTTTGAAAGTTGGCAGGGTTTAAACTACACCGCTGGCCACGGGTGAAGGCCAAGGCTTGCTAATTCCTCCCAAACTGTGAGGGGCGGCAGAAAGTCAAGTTCAAGAAAGCACTGGAGAGCTGGGGGACACACACACACACAGAGACCCCTCAAAAGCCTGGGGAGAACGGACGCAGCTCCAAGCAAAATCACAAGAGTCCTTCTGGGAAGTTTCTCAGCCCTGACTGAATGGCAGATTCAGAGCGAAGACGAAAACCCCAACTTTGGCTTTTGAGGTGAAGCAGTTCCTCCGAGCGGACCTGGCTATGTAAGGCAGCAAGACAAAATGCTCTAGCCAAAATTGTATTTAACATTTATAGGAGGAGGTCAGGAGGGGGGGGGAAACATCACAGACGGATGCATAATTTAAATAATGCTCTTCGTAAAAAAGGATCTGCGTGCCCTTTTTTTGTTGTTGTTTTTTTTTAATAAAAGCGAAATACTTTCAAGAGAAATCTCACTAGCTCCGAATTTTGGTGGCTTTTTTTCCCTCTCTCCTTTCTTTTCCATTCTCGGGAAAAAAAAATAAATGAAAGGGGTGGGGGGGAAGAAGATTCCTCCACCCCTTCCGAAACTTTTAAGGTAAACGACACGGCACACTCGTAAAGCAAAACAAGAAGTGGCTGGCTCTAAAATTTAAAAAAAAAAACCACACACACACACACACAACCAGCCCATTCAAAGTCCTCCTCCTTCCGGGGGGGGGGGTGGAGGGGGGGGGTGGAGAGAGAGAGAGAGAGAGAGAGGGTGTCAGGGGCTGCGATATATTTCTTCAGCCAGTTCATTAAATTAATTCGTAAGCAGTGGCTCTGAAATTATACCCGATGAAAAATGGTCTCAAAATTTAAATGGTACAAACTCATCTTATTAGAGGCAAAACATTAAAAAACAAACGCATTTTCCCCCCCACCTTCTCTTGCCACGGCGGCTTTAATTTCTCTGGGTGGGGTGGGGGGGAAATGAAAGGCGCGTGATGGATGGCTCTTACCTTATTCATAAGCGAGGATAAAAGAGATGAATTTGCCGAGACTGTGTGGCCATTTGATTCATTACTGGAACACACAAACCAATAGGGTTTAGTTAAGATGTGCATAGGGGAGCTGCAATTAATTCTCCTTTCAAATTGGCAACCCCTTTCCCCGCCTTCCACCTGATGCGTACGAAGGACCAGGAGGCGAGGAAGCCCACCTTTCTCCCGGCCGAGTCACCCTCGCTGCCAGGGAAAGGCCTCAACCAGGTTCAGTCCCCGAGGAGCTCAGGGAGGTCACCCCTAGGCTTCCTTCTTCCCCCGGGGAATCCAGCGTTTCCTTTCTCTCAGGGAATGAGGGAGACCGACTGGATAGCTCATACGGAAGCATCCCAACCAGAGGTAGCATTCAGCCGGTTCGCACCGGTTCGCTGGAACCGCTTGCGGAAATCATGGGTGGGCCTGTCCACCGGCCCTGGCTCTATGCCATCCTATTTAGGCACGTTTTTGAGGCTGGGCGCGTGTGTGGAAGGCGCGTGTGAGAGCGAAGTTCATGCGCGGAAGGCCGGGTGCATGCACGGAAGGCAGACACGTGCGCAAACCGGGCGGGCGTGCACGAAGCGAGCGCGCATGTGGGGAGGGTGAACTGGTAGTAACAATGTGAAACCCACTGCTGACCCCAACCTCCCCTTCTAAACGTGATCCCAGATGGGAGCCTTCTCCTCTCCACTATGTAAGCCTTCTCCTTTCCACTACGTAAGGAGGCCGACGGGCTCAGAAGATGGAGAGGCTAGCGGGGAAGGCTGCCTCATAGCTCAGCCACGATGGTCAACTCTGGCTGGGAGGCCAGCGACACACCAGGGTCCCCGAAAAGCTTAGCCAGTGGGGTCTCCTTCCTTGGAGTGGGAAGTATCTCCACTCACAAAGACCTCCAAACACCTCTTTCTTTCTGCAGCTCAAAAGGAGAGGCAACCTCCAGGTGTCTTGGGCCCAGCTGGGCTGGCCAACAGCAAGGGTTGTTTTGGGGGAAGGGCCGTGTCCCTAAATTGGGTTATTCGTTCTCCTCTGCTCTGGTGGCCCACCCTTTCTTACCCGTGATCTTTCATTCTAAGGTCCAGGCTGTGTTCCTGCAAGGAGGAGTCTTGAGCTGTGACGGATCCCGAGCCGGGATTCTCAACCACCTCGGACTTCATCTGCGTTGGGTTGAACCGTCCAGGTGTGATGGGCTGCCCGTTTCCTGCACCCATGAAAGAAGATAAGTTGGGGGGGGGGGAGAGGGAGAGAAAGAAAGACCCACAATGTGTCACTAAATAAAGTCATGGAAATCAACCCACAATAAAGCTCAGCCGGTAAGAAATAATGCATCGGTTTACAATATCACACACAGACACACAGACACACACACACAGAGAAAACAACTCTTCCTCCCCCCCGCCCACCCCCCCACTCAGGCCGTGTGGGGAAGAGAGGGAGAGAGGGTCGGGTTAGCTGGTCAGCATTTATTGCCAAGCTGACGTGATGGGGTCCGACGTCCATCCCGGTGTGGAAATTCTTCCAAGTGATAATTATTGCAAAAATTATGTCAAAGTTGTCCGGGCTGTGGGCTCTTTAAAGGAGGACGGACGGAAGGAGCGAGGGGGAGATCTGATGCTCTGTGCAAGCTGTCATAACTCATTTGTGGGGCTGCCTCTTAAACGTTTATTAAAGATGCCTTTAACGTTGAGGCAATGTGGCAGCTCGGGGCTGCTAGTCAAGACCCTTTCCCGTTCCCCAGTCTGCATGTTGCCTTGGTGACTGGTACCGGTCTCTCCACTGAGCATGCCCAGAAGGAACGTCTGCCATGTCAGCTCGATCGAAAATGACACCCAATCCCATTGGTTCCAACCCGCCTGACCCCCCCCCCCGCCACCCCCCCACCCGGGGCCCCCCCCCCCCGCCCCCCCCGGCCCGCCCCCCTCTTCCCAAACCGCCGACTCCCGTTTGGCAAAAAAGTAAAGGGGTGCCCCCAAAAGGAGGCCGAGACCACCCCCCCCCCAACAAGCGAAGGCAAGGAGAAGGGCCCTGCGTGCGGGGAAGGATGAAACCACGACAGGGGAAAAGTTGCTGATGGGAATGTGTCTGCTGAGTTTCTCGCCACTACGCTGACTAAAATATTAATTTGCCCAGAGGCACTTCGGCTGATGGGGAACTGCTCCGCCGACAGCAAGTGGCTTTTTATTAAAAAAATAAATAAATAAATAAAGGGAAAAAAAAAAAGATCCATCAATGACCACTCTCCTTGTTAAGGAAGATTCCTCCTCCCTGGTTTTTTTTTTAAAAATAATGTGAAGAATAAAAAGCTTCCTGGGAAATTGGATATTCTTCCTCCTGTGCCGTGAGACCTAGTCCCAGCTGGATTTCAAAAGACGGGAAAACTACCCGATTCCAGTCCATCGGAAGGAGTACTTGTGAGCTGCCCAAAATGTTGATCTTCAGATCTCATTTTAATGGCATTTGATCCCTCCTTCTGGGCAATGGCTTGCCAGCCCCCCCACACCCCCACTTTGGAATTTCCCCTTTGAATTGGTCCAAGGAAAGAGTGCGTGCCGAGGGGACTCACCTGCCTCCATCGACACTGAGGACTTCAGAGCTGCCGCCGCTAACCGAGCCATCATGGGCGAAATCAACCCTTTGCTGGCTGAGATCTTCTCCATGATGGAAGCCGCTGGAGTCGGCGAAGAGGTGGCCGCCCCCTCGCCAGAACCCGAGAGAGCCGGGGAAGGCGAACCGGCTGAAGACGCTGGATTGGTACTCGGCGTGCCGGCACCTAGCAAGCTGCTAGAGCTGGCGGACAGTTGGGCCGAGACCCGGCCGGGGAGCATGGGGAAGTAAGAGCCTGCCGTTCCTGGAAGCGCTGCGTTGGGCAGGGCCAGGGCCAAAGGGATATTGCTTGGGAGAGCTTGAGAGAGCAGGGTGGGCATTTTGGAAGCCGAGGGCATATTGCCGGTGGGTTTGCTGGCGGCTTGCGAGGCGGCCAGCTCTGCGGCCGAGGTGGAAGGGGTGCCCGGCACAATCAAGGAGACGGAAGACTGTTGACTGGTGGGAGAGGCACTCAGGCTGGAGTTCTTTGAGCTTATGGCGGAGAAATCGATCAGGTCGTCATTGCTGGACTCCTCCTGCTCGTTCTCCTTGGCGCCCATCAGCGAGGCGGGCAAGCCCAGCATGCCCGAGCTGCGGATGTGCCGGCGCTCGTGTTTGCGCTTGTGCGAGGTCATCTGGCTGGTGGAGGTGAAGGTGAAGCCACAGCCGGGCCGGATGCAGTGGAAGTGGTTGGTGGCCTTGCTGTAAACGCAGCCCTCGTACTTGCACTCCTCGTACTTGTAGAACTTTTTGAAGCCGTCCTTGGCATAGGCGTCGTCCTTGATGTGGTAGCTCTTGTGCTTCTCGATGTCGCACTTGTTCTTGAAAGTGAAGGTGCAACCGGGCCGCCTGTGGGAGAGAAAAGGATGGGTCAGGCCCAGGAAGAGCCCTTTCACATGCTTTGCCCCACGGGACGGTGATGTCTCCCTGAAACGGCCGATCCCTCAGAGCTAGAGGCCAGACAGCTGAGCGTGTCCTGCCTTGGTATCTTGGCTCTGCAGGATTTCAGACAGAAATTCACTAGAACTGGAGTCCCCAACCCCTAGGCTGCGGTCCACTACCGGGCTGTAAGCTGTTCAGAACCGGGCTATCCGAAGCAGCGAGTGCGCACCCGTGTACTGCCCATGTGCACCTTTTGCCCAAACAGCGGGCAAGCATTTGCGTGCGCCAGTGGTAGTATTCAGCTGGTTCTATCCAGCTCGGGCGAACTGGTAGCGGTGGCTGCAGGAGGCTCTGCCCACCTGCCCAAACGTCATCACGTCCCGTTTTTGACAATCTGTATATGCGCAGAAGTCCCTGTGCATGCGCGGAGGTGGCTGCGCAAGCGAAGTGCGTGCGCTCCCATTTGCAAACCGGTAGCGAAGGTAAGTGAATACCACCCCTGGCGTGCGTGCTCCATTTGTACGAGCGGCGAGTATGATTGCTCGCCGCTCACACAAATGGAGCTGTAGGTGGGCACACTTGCCCGTCACTCACGCGGAACCGTTCCCTCTCCCCCCACCACCTTCCTCTGCTGGCCCACAAAGTCAGAAAGTTTGGGAAACTCTGTGCTAAGAGGTTGAATCGAGACCTGCCAGCAAGGCAGTAAGGTCAGCTACACGAACCTCTTCAGAGACAAGGGGCAATTCACCCAAGGCCACCTTGCAATATTTGCCGAAATAATGGCTTTCATGGGAGAGAAGATCTGAACTTTACTTCTTTGGTCCCACTTCTAAACACCTGTGGGTTCCAACCTCCAGCATTGATGCATGGACACGTTTCTGGGGCTCTGAGAGCTGCACCTTTGAGCGTGCAAGACCCATCGGAGACAAGGATTCCAAAAGGCCCAGACTGTCGTCCAAGGACAAAACAAATTTGGCCACCAGTCTTCCTCAGAACTTGACCTAGATCAGAGATGGCGAACCTTTTCAGCACCGATTGCTGAAAAACAGCCTAAAAACGACCTGAAAATGGCCCGAAAAACAGCCTAAAAACATCCTGAAAAATGGCCTAGAAATGGCCAGAAAATGACCAGAAAATGACCAGAAAATGACCAGAAAATGGCCTGAAAAACAGCCTGAAAACGGCCCGAAAAACAGCCTAAAAAACGTCCTGAAAAATGGCCTAGAAATGGCCTGAAAAACGGCCTGAAAACGACCAGAAAAATGGCCTGAAAAACACCTGAAAACGGCCTGAAAAACAGCCTAAAAACATCCTGAAAAATGGCCTAGAAATGGCCTGGAAAATGGCCTGAAAAACGACCAGAAAATGGACCAGAGAATGGCCTGAAAAAACAGCCTGAAAACGGCCTGAAAAACAGCCTAAAAAACATCCTGAAAAATGGCCTAGAAATGGCCTGGAAAATGGCCTGAAAAACGACCAGAAAATGGACCAGAGAATGGCCTGAAAAACAGCCTGAAAACGGCCTGAAAAACAGCCTAAAAAACATCCTGAAAAATGGCCTAGAAATGGCCTGAAAAACGACCAGAAAATGGACCAGAGAATGGCCTGAAAAACAGCCTGAAAACGGCCTGAAAAACAGCCTAAAAAATCCTGAAAAATGGCCTAGAAATGGCCTGGAAAATGGCCTGAAAAACGGCCTGAAAATGACCAGAAAATGACCAGAAAATGGCCTGAAAAACGGCCTAAAAACGGCCTGGAAAATGGCCTTTTTTGGCAGTTTTGGGCAGTTTTTCGGGCTATTTTCAGGCCATTTTCCAGCGCTCTGCCACCCGCAAAGACCAGCTGGCCAGAAACCAGAAGAGCAGCTGGTAAGGCGCATGTGCCCACAGAGAGGGCTCTGTGTGCCACCTCTGGCACGCGTGCCATAGGTTCGCCATCACGGGCCTAGTCCAACCCCCGGTCCATGGATCGGCACCTGGCCGCAGCATGTCAGAAACCAGGCCACGCAAACAAGGGAAGTCCTGCCCGCCGGATGCAGGCAGCACGCGAATCCATGCCTCCTCCGGTCCACAGAAAAGCCTCTCTCCATGGAAGGGGTCCCTGGTGCCCCAAAGGTTGTGGGCCGCTGCCCTAGATGGATCACTATCAATATCCTTTCCCCAATGCAGCCAAGTGAAGCCGAGGCCTTGTCAACCCCGTCAAATGCCTTTTTGCCTTGGTTCTAAGTGATGCCGGTCAGAACCCTCGCGCGGAGAAAAACTGTAGAGAAGGAAGGGACGCCCACCTACCCAATGAGAACCTTTTTTTCCTCTTGCCCCCGTGCCCACCTGCAGTGGAAGTGGGTGGTCTTCTGCCCGTAGAACTGGCAGTCCACCGTGCCGCAGTCTTCGGTGGCCCGGAACCGCTGGAAGCCATCGTTGATCAGCTGCGTGTTCTTCTTGTGGAAGTTTTCGTGGGTCATCACATCGGAGGTGCTGGTGTACACCTTGTTGCAGCCCACCTGAGGGAGGGAGGGGAACCGGGGCAACTAGTCAGAAAGTTGAGAGTTGTGTGTGTGTGTGTTTTAAAGCCAGGTTTTCCGAGTGCGGCAGCATTACAATAACCTCTGAAGTTTCACTTCTTTCCAGAGGGAGAAAAAGAAACAGAGGGAGGAAGGAAGGAAGGAAAGCAGAAGAGAGGGGACCAAAGGACTGGTGTCAGAATGGGAAGGGACCTTGGAGAGCTTCTAGTCCAACCCCCCTACTCAAGCTGGAAATCCTATACCATTTCAGACAAATGGCTGCTCAGTCTTTTTCTTAAAAGCGTTGGAGCATCCATAACTTCTGGAGGCAAGTTGTTCCACTGATTAAATGTCCTCACTGTCAGGACATTTCTCCTCAGTTCCAGGTTGCTTCTCTCCTAGATTATGGGTCCCTTGAAGAAAAGACCCCTTTCCCACCACAGCTAATGTTGCAGCCTGTGAGCTATGGGTCCACAGGAAAAAAGCAGAGGGGAGCAGAGGAAGGGGGAGAGAGAGGGAGAGAAAGAGAGACAAAGGGAGGGAGAAAGGGAGGGAGAGGAAGAGAGAGGAAGGGAGAGAGAGAAGGAGAGGGAGGGAGGGACAGAGAGAGAGACAAAGGGAGGGAGGGGGAGAGAGAGAGAGGAAGGGCTGGAGAGAGAGAGAGAAAGGGAAAGAGGGAGGGAGAGAGAAAGAGAGACAAAGGAAGGGAGGGAGGGACAGGTAGGAAGGGAGGGAGAGGGAGAGAGAGAGAGGGAGATGGAGAGAAAGAGAGATGGAGGGGGAGAGAGAGGGAGGAAGGGACAGTGAGGGAGAGAGAGAGGGAGAGAGAAAGAGAGGAAGGGACAGTGAGGGAGAGAGAGAGGGAGAGAAAGAAAGAGAGATGAAGGGAGGGAGGGAGGGGTAGAGAGAGAAAAGAAGAGAAGAGAGAGCAGAGGGGGAGGGAGGGAGAGAGAGGGAGAGAGAAAGAGAGAAGAAGGGAGAGAGAGAAAAAGAGAGATGAAGGGAAGGAGGGAGGGAGGGAGAGAGAGAGAGAGAGAAAAGAAGAGAAGAGAGAGAGGAAGGGGGAGAGAGGGAGGGAGGGAGAGAGATGGGAATTCACATGGAAAAAACAACAGCCCACATAAAGCAGAGAGGTGGGCTGGTCACTCTTTTCACCCTATAATTGGGGACGGGGGCCTTGGCTAGTGGAAGGACTCAGGGCCTGTGACCGGTTCTGTTTTAAGGCTGCCCAGAAGAGAAGAAGAATGCAGAACGTCTCTCTCTCTCTCTCTCTCTCTCTCTCTCTCTCTCTCTCTCTCTCTCTCTCTCTCTCTCTCTCTCAGCTCAGGGCAAATTTGCCATATTGAGTAAAATTCCAGGAGAATCTGACAAGACCAGTGCCCGCTGAGAGAGAGAGAGAGAGAGAGAGAGAGACGAAGTCCCTGCTTTCTCTACCTCATTCCGAGGCTCGGGTGCCAACGCCTGTACCATCTCAGAAGTTGAAGCAAACCAAAACACACACACACACACACACCTTGGGTTGCGAGAAAAGCATCGGACAAACGTCCAGTTGTGTGTGTGTGGGGGGGAGCTATTCTGAAACTACTTCCAATCTCTCCTCCCCGCCACCCCACCCCCCACTGACACCTTGAAACAAGACAGACCCCCGAGTGGCGTTAAAAGAAGAAATTTAAAAAAAAACACACACACACACAAAAAAACCCAACAACCCCCTGGTGAATAATTTGCAACGGGGCTCATTGTGGTAAAGCATGAAAAAATGTCCCCTTGGTATAAACAACTAAGGTGCGTTTTATCCAGGCCAATTATGGACATGAAAAGGGGGAAGGGCCTTTTTCACGAGAGAGAGAGGCTTTGTGGGGGGCAAATGCTGCTATTTAAGAGATTTAGGATAAACCGAGTTGGAAGGGACCTCGGAGGTCTTCTAGTCCAACCCCCTGCCTAGGCAGGAAGCCCTACACCATTTCAGACAAATGGTTGTCCAACATCTTCTTAAAAACGTCCAGTGTTGGAGCATTCACAACTTCTGGTGGCAAGTTGTTCCACGGATTAATTGTTCTCACTGTCGGGAAATTTCTCCTTGGTTCTAAGTTGGTTCTCTCCTTGATTATTTTCCACCCATTGCTTCTTGTCCTGCCCTCAGGTGCTTTGGAGAATAGCTTGACTGCCTCTTCTTTGGGGCAGCCCCTGAGATATTGGGACACTGCTCTCATGTCTCCCCTAGTCCTTCTTTTCATTAAACGAGAGATACCCAGTTCTTCATATGTTTTAGCCTCCAGTCCCCTAATTATCTTTGTTGCTCTTCTCTGAACTCTTTCTCAAGTCGCCACATCTTTTTTTACATCGTGGCGACCAAAATTGGATGCCGGATTCCAAGTGTGGCCTTACCGAGGAATTATAAAGTGGTATTAACATCTCATATGATCTTGATTCTATTTGCTGTCCTTGGGGAATTTACAATATTGTGACACCTTTCCCTCCTCTTAACATGGATATTGGCTTCCGATGAAGGCTTTTCCTGTTGGTCTCCCTTTCGGAGAAATTCTTTCCCTCCAGAAGTGCGGGTTGCTGGTCTGCACCCCTTTCTTTCTGTCCCCCTTTCTGTCAGCCTGCTGTCCCCCCAGGACACCTAAGAATCCATCCAGCGTACAGGTAGTTCTCACGTTACTACAGTTCGTTTAGTGACCGTTACAAAGTTATAATGGCACTGAAAAAGGTGACCTGTGACTGTTTTTCAGAGTTTGGTAACATCTCTAGGATTGGGAAATCGAAGTTCAGACGCTTGGCCACCGACTCGTACTTATGACCGTCGCCGCGTCTCCTTCTGCGACCTTCTGACAAGCAGGAAGCTGGAATCGCTTAACAACCGGGCTACTAAGTTGTGATTCACTTAACGACTGTAGCCAGAAAGGAGGTGAAACGGGGCAAAAGTCCCTTCGCGAAGGTCTCACTTTAACCACGGGAAATTTTGAATGCCAGTTGTTTAAAAAGTTAGCGAAACGCGGAATGTTAAGCGAATCTGCCTTTTCCCATTTGCTGGTCAGAAGGTCGCAAAATGACCCCAGGGACGCTGCAGCCGTCATAAATGTGAGTCGGCTGCAGACAGAAATGGTGGGCTCAATGGCGGTCGTACGTCGAGGACTACTCGAATTGCTGCGGCTGCAGAGGCTGGAATGGAACATTGATAGAGCGACCAAGGCCCAGATGCAAATACCAAACTAAGTTCCATCCCAACAGCTTAATTCCAAGGAGCCATCGCACGGCCGGCCACATCTGTCCAGCTGCTTAACTCGCCGCTGAACAAAGAAGCCGCCAACAGCCCAGGAAGAATCTAAAAGGATTTCCAATTCTCTGCTCCGGGTTGAACCGAACCAAACTTTCCCATCAAACGCTTCCACCGTAACGGTGCTTCCCTCTGATCTCGTGTTTGAAACTGGGCTGCTATTTAATATTTGATGGGCTCAGTAGCCAGCCACAAAGGGAGCAACCCTGGAGAGAAGGAGCAGCCGGGGCTTTGCGCCGCAAGGTCACCGCTCAAACAGAGAGTAAGCTCGTAGTTGAGAAGGAGACCTCCCGCCGGACTGCCATCCTCCCAGGAGGGACCTGGGGGGGGGGGGAGGAAGTCAAAGGAAAAATCCACCAGTTTATCCTTTCTGGAAAAACGCATCTCGTTCCACAATGCCGGCCTACAGAAAAGGGGACCCTTTGGGGTTATTCGGTGGGGATGAACCGGTCGGCAGCGGCTGCGGGAGGCACCGCCCAACCGCCCGGACGTCATCACGTCCCATTTTTTGATGCTCTGTGCATTTGTGAACCGGTAGCGAAGGTAATATACCACCCCTGGGTCGGCGGCCCTGATCCTTGGCTCTCCCAGGCCGGCCAAGGTGGGCCGGGCGTTTTACCTGCATGCAGTGGTAATGTGTGCTTTTCCCGTTGAGGTGGCAGCCGTGGTAGTAGACACTGCAGTCATCCAGGGGGCTGAACCGCATGAAGCCGTGCTGGAGGGAGTTGTCCCGTTTCTTGTGCATGTTGTAATGCCGAATGACGTCCTGCTTACTGGTGAACCTCTGGGGGAGGGGGGTGAGAGGGAGAAGCAGAAGGTGAGGGGAGGGGTGGAAACGTCCCAGAGATGGACAGGTGTGGGCATTCCATCCCGAGGAGGGTTGCACAGGAGAGAGAAAATACGGAATGGGGGAAATACCGAATACTGGGATGCATTTCGGACATCTGCTGAAAAAAAACTGCATCACGGGGGGGAGGGTGAAAACGGCCTCCCCAGGCTCCGGAGGCCTTCCCGAACTTCCGGTAGGCCCCGTTTTTTGCTCTCTCCGAGCCTCCACGCACGCCCTGCATTTATCTGCATCCAGAACAGGCCGCGTGGGGACTCCTGGGAGGGGAGGGGTGGGCGGGGCCAGCCGGGAGTGGGATTTGGGGCAGGGGTGAAATCCAGCAGGTTCTGACGAACTGGTAGTGGAAATTTTGAGCAGTTCGGAGAACTGGTAGCGGAAATTTTGAGTACTTCAGAGAATCGGTAAATACCACTTCTGGCTGGCCCCAGAGTGGGGTGGAGAATGGAGTTTTTGCAATATCCTTCCCCCAGGAGTGGGGTGGGAATGGAGATTTTGCAGTATCCTTCCCCTGCCACGCCCACCAAGCCACGCCCACCAAGCCACACCACACCCACCAAGCCACGCCCACAGAACTGGTAGTAAAAAAATTTGGATTTCAGCACTGATTTGGGGGTTCTCCAAACTGCACGGAATCTTAGCTAGAGGTCTTCCCGAACCCCTGCGAACCCCCAGCGACCCACCCCTGCTTAGAAGCCAAAATCAGCTAGAAAGGTAGCCTCTCTGCGTGCGTGCGGCGTGGTAAAGCTGGATGGTGTTACCCACCCACTCAAGGCCGGATCCCCCCAAATTGACCATTGATCAAAGAGAGGCAGAGAGGCGCCTGGGTGAGTTCAGCTGCTGGGATGGAGGTGGACTGTTTCGAAATCCAGATGGGGAGTCGCGCCCCCCCCCATTTCTCCAACCCTTCTCTCTTCGAAAGCAGAAATAAATCTCCATCTGGCTCTACCGCTTTGATTAAACTTCGAGATATACACACAGGAATATACACAAGGAAGCACCGAGGAGTAATTTCCCTGGAATGCTGTTGCCACATCCTGCTAATCTGGCAGCCACTTAATCCAGAGTGCCTTGAGTAAGGGGTGTCCAGCCTCGGCAACTTTGAAGACTTGGCTTAAAGTCAACCAAGCTTGGCTGGCTGGGGAATTCGGGGAGTTGAAGCTCCCACAAGCCAACGTTAGATTATATTTTTTTTCTTACTTCTAGGTTGCTTCAACTGGTCACTCCAAGATCCAACCGGTCACTCCTAGAGGAGTCACTCCTAGAGGAGATCAACTGGTCACTCCTAGAGGAGATCAACCCTGACTGCTCTTTAGAAGGCCAGATCCTGAAGATGAAACTCAAATCCTTTGGCCACGTAATGAGAAGGAAGGACTCCCTGGAGAAGAGCCTAATGCTGGGAACGATGGAGGGCAAAAGAAGAAGGGGACGGCAGAGAAGGAGGTGGCTGGATGGAGTCACTGAAGCAGTTGGTGTGAGCTTAAATGGACTCCAGAGGATGGCAGAGGACAGAAAGGCCTGGAGGAACGTGGTCCATGAGGTCGCGATGGGTCAGACACGACTTCACAACTAACAACAACTAGGTTGCTTCTCACCTTGGTTAGTTTCCACCTGCTAATTCTTCTCTGGCCTTCAGGTGCTTTGGAGACACACCTCCTACCCCACCCGTGGCTGGGTTCCCACTGCCCACATCCTCACAGAAACTCACAGCCTCTCAGACTGGGGGTGGGGCTGGACCAGAACCAGTTTTCCCCTGTTGCAATTGGAGGAGTGCCTCCGACCCTGGAGAACGCCAGGGGAGAAATCCGTGGCAGCTATTCCTGGGAGTCCCGTCCTGCCGCCACAGCCTTAACAAGCGGGGTGAGTGTGTATATGTGTGTGTGTGTGTGGCTGACCACAACCCTGGAAGAGTCAAAGCCAACCCTGAACGGAGGGTAAACAAATGCAGCATGTGACATGGAGGAGCCGGCCTGACAAGTGTGTCCTGGCAGCTCTCCCAGGCCGGGCTGCCGTTCCAACTTCTGTCCCTTCCTCCACATCCTGCTTCTCTTCCACCTTCCTTCAACCCAGCCGGCAGGAGCTACTGAAGGTCACCTGGGGTTCTCAGCCCCAGGGGAGGCTACGCAAAACACCTTTGACCGGGAGCGGGATTAACATCACCCCCTTGGGAGGTAGAGGCCGAAAGGAAGGAGGAATCTAGCTGGCGGAATCCCATCCGTCTCCATTATGACGAGAGAGGCTGAGCCCACCTGCCTTTCTGTATTTAAAGGCGGTCGTTTCTTTGGGGAGGGGGAGGGCGCGAGGGGGGAAAGGATGACAATGGAGTGTTTGTGACAATTACACGCCAGAAGTCCATAAAGAATATCTGGAACGGTCCCAACAAGCTGTTTTTACGAGGAAGCCCCGACACAGGCGGAGTCTGCAAACCAGTTCGGATGCCTTTCCCCCCACCGCTCTCTTCCTAGCAGCTCTCCGTCTCGAATTAACCTCCCCGTTTTATGTCCTCCTGGCTCTGCGTTACTGCCGAGAACGTCCCTTGCATTAGCAGGCAAAAAAAAATATGTGGAGATCATAAGTGGAGGGCAGGAGAGTGTTCGGAAACGGCTGGCCGGTTGGTGAGAAGCTCTTTTGCCCTGGGGGGTTTAAAAGGCTCACCGCATCCAAGGGAAGGAAGGAGCCCAGTGACTCGTCCCCTCTGGTTAAGCCCATCTCCTGAAGAGTTTTCCCACGTGCAAAAAAAATTCCTCAGGTGGAAAAAAAAATCTCACCCTCCTCTGCAGTGGTGGGATCCCGCCAGTTTAACAACTAGTTCGGGGATCGCGCGTTCCATGCGCGCACCCAATGGGCTGCGTGCATGTGCGCAGTTTTACGTAAACTTACTTTCCGTGTTACTGCTGGGGAGTAACACAGCTGAGCTGCGGCAATCCGCTCTGCCGCGTGAATCAGCTGAGAAGATATAGGTCAGTAAAGCACAGGGGCGGGAGGGCGGGCCCAGCTGATCGTCGGAGCGAACCGGTTCGCTCCCAGCTGATTGTCGGAGTTACCGGTTCGCTCAAACCAGTCGGATTCCCACCCCTGCTCCTTTGACAACTTCCCCCATGGCAGCCTTAGGAAACAATTCTGCTACGATGGGATAAATTTGCTGCACTGGACATTAGGGCCACTAGATCAGCAGTCTCAGGGGTGAAATCCAGCAGGTTCTGACAGGTTCTGGAGAACCGGTGGCGGAAATTTTGAGCAGTTTGGAGAACTGGCAAATGCCACATCTGGCTGGCCCCAGAGTGGGGTGGGAATTGAGATTTTGCAATATCCTTCCCCCAGGAGTGGGGAGGGAAAGGGGATTTTGCAGTATCCTTCCCCTGGAGTCGGGTGGGAATAGAGATTTTGCAGTATCCTTCCCCTGCCACGCCCACAAAGCCACACCACACCCACAAAGCCACGCCCACAGAACTGGTAGCAAAAAAAATTGGATGTCACCACCGCTCGCCGTTCGTGTGGCCCGATAGCGGGCCAAGGTCCAGGATTGGGGACCCCTGCACTAGATTATTTCGTCTTCAACCTTTTCCCCCCCCCTCCCCACTTTTTGGGCTGGTTTCTCAAACCTCTGGTGTTTATATTGTATATTATCTACCTGATAGTTGCACTCTGGGTCAAGGCAGTGATAATGTTCCCGGTACTGGTATGCACAGTGAATGTGTCCGCAGTGCTGGCTTCCGGAAAACCTGGACATAGTTAAGAAGGGAAGAGAGGACGTTACGTGGGTCAGAAATAAAACGAGCAATGGCTTCCCCTTTCCCCCCTCCTCCTCCCAATCCTCTCAGTTACACATCTGTCTGTTTCAAAGCAGGCTGGACGAGAGCTGGCCTTCTCTTTCGTGCCGAGAGAAACTGACACGAAATGGCAATCGACTCTACCGAGTGGTTGCAATCTCCCGGGCCTGGCGTTCCTTTATGCCAGGAGGTGCAGAGGGCACCTCTGCCTTTCTCCCCTCCTTATGATCCAAAGGTACGGATGAGGCGAAAACCTGGCTCAAAAGCAGTAATTGTGAGAGGGACCTTGGCGTCCCAGTGGACAGTCGCTTAAACATAAGCCAGCTGCGCGTGGCAGCAGCCGTCCAAAAAAAAAAAAGCCAATATAATCCTTGGTTGTTATAAACAGAGGCACAGCATCAAAACCACGTGGAAGTATTAGTACCGTTTTATAAAGCCTTTAGTAAGGCCACCTCTGGAATTCTGCATCCAATTTTGGTCACCCCGGCTGAATATTATTGACCCAAAGATCCTACTGAGATGCCGAGACGAAGAATCCTCAAAATGCAAAGTTACAAGTTCAGGCCATCTGCACGCCTTCTCTTCGTGACGGCTTCCCACTCGCCTCGTTTTGGATTTTCAAACCATGATAGAATCCCGAGGGACAGGAGGTCCCAGCTTTTCTTAACCAACCCTAACTAAATCTCCAGATGTTCAGGATGCTGGATTTTCTAGCATCCCTCCTGGGATAGTGGGTTTTTGTGTATCAAACGTTATCTGCGACACGAAACGAGGCGTGGTAACCTGGGGTTACTCAGACCCGCCGAGAAGCAGAGAAAAGGTTTCAATCAGAATCAGAACAGAGCCGGAAGAGACCTTAGAGGTCATGCAGTCCAACCCCTTGCTTAAGCAGGAGACCCTATACCATTTCAGACACTCCCTTTCTTTAAATCCTCCAGTGTTGGAGCACCCACAACTTCTTGTGGCAAGCTGTTCCACTGGTTAATTGTCCTCACTATTAGGAAGTTTCTGCACAGGGTCGACGAGCCGACCTTCAAAAAGGGGAAAGGAACAAAACAAAAAACAAAAAAAATGAGCCAAGGTGGCGCAGTGGTTAGAGTGCAGTACTGCAGCTACTTCAGCTGACTGCTAGTTCAGCAGATCAGCGGATCAAATCCCACCGGCTCAAGGTTGACTCAGCCTTCCGTCCTTCCGAGGTGGGTAAAATGAGGACCCGGATTGTTGGGGGGCAATATGCTATTTAGTATACTGTCTTTGGTGTAAGCCGCCCAGCGTCCTCGGAGAGTGGGCGGCATAGAAATATGACTAATAATAATAATAATAATAATAATAATAATAATAAGCAGCTAGCATTGCTGCAAAAAAAAAAAAAGAGGTTAATAAAGTTTCACCGATGGCATTTGCAAACAGCACAGAAAGAGACGTCCATCCGCCGTCCGAGAGAGAGAGAGAAAGAGAGAGCGGGAAAGGAGGAGGAAAAAGAGAAGCAAAGGATAACAGAAAAACAGACCATTGGAAAAAGACAAGTGTAAGAGGATTTGGAGATGGGCAGAGGAGTCCTGGCATGCCAAGGGCCACGCAGGTTGCTTCCCCGCTTCGCAGGTTCCTCTGCTTTGCCCTTTTTACCCTCCCTTCCCCTCTCCTCCCCCTCCCATTTGGCAGAGCGGAGACAGCCATGCTCGGCTATGTCATATCAAGGGCAAGCTCTCTCTCTCTGTGTGTGTGTGTAGGGCAGGCCTCCAGCTCTGGGGATTAGGGAATCTCCCCCCCCCCCCCCCCCCCCCACCCCCCCCCCCCCCCTCGGGGGATGGGGGCCCCCCCCCCCCCCACCCCACCCCACTCCCCTTCCCCAGTTAATAGATTCCTGCAGGGCTACCTCTCTCTCTCTCTCTCCTTGGCTTCGCCTGACACTTGAAACAGTTCAAGTTATTAATTTTTAAAGGGCAGCATCTGCTGAGCTTCGGAAAGCAGGAAGCCTCGCACAGACGGCGCACGCTTGCTGACGCCATGTGCAAGAGGGAGCACACCTGCTGGACCCCCCCCTCCCACCGCCACGCACACACCCCGCCAGTCCCCTTCCACGCGCCTTTTCATCCGCACAAAGCATGCATTCGGGGACTCCCCCCCACCCCCCGGGGCCTCCCCCTTCCAAGGCAACGGGTGTGCGACGTGTGGCAGAAACCGGCGTGGGACGACGAGGCCCAGAGTTCTGCTCCGGAAAAGATTCCCCGCCACGGTGATGGCTAGGGACCAAGAAGAGCTTCTTCCTATATAGCAGAGCTCTCCAAAGTTGGCAACTTTAAGCCTTGAGGACTTCAACTCCCAGAATTCCTCGGTGGTGGCTACGAAGGCAGTGGTGAAATTCAAATGTGTTTATTACCGGTTCTATGGGCGGGGCTTGGTGGGCGGGGCAGGGGAAGGATACTGCAAAATCCCCATTCCCTCCCCACTCCTGAGGGAAGGATATTGCAAAATCTCCATTCCCACCCCACTCCTGAGGGAAGGATATTGCAAAATCTCCATTCCCACCCCACTCCTGAGGGAAAGATACTCCAAAATCTCCATTCCCACCCCACTCCTGAGGGAAAGATACTCCAAAATCTCCATTCCCACCCCACTCCTGAGGGAAAGATACTCCAAAATCTCCATTCCCACCCCACTCCTGAGGGAAGGATACTGCAAAGTGTCCATTCCCACCCCACTCTGGGGCCAGCCAGAGGTGGTATTGGCCGGTTCTCCAAACTAGTCAAAATTTCCGCTACCGGTTCTCCAGAACCTGTCAGAACCTGCTGGATTTCACCCCTGCTATGGGGAATATATAGCCGCCATGCAGCGGTGGGTTACACATTATGTTACTACTGGTTTGCCCCACGAGCCTGCCTTCCTCACATGCGCCTGGCCTTCCGTGCACGCGCTTTTGTCGTGTGTGTGTGCCTTCCACGCATTTGCCCGGCCTCAAAAACGTGCCTAAATAGAGCCGGGGCAGATGGGCAAGCCCACCCACGATTTCCACTACCGGTTCCGGCAAACTGATCCAAACCAGCTGAATACCTACCTCCGGCGCCATGTGCCATTCACGGTTGAAATGGATGGGTGAACATACAGAGAACCTACCAAATTGGGGGAAAATAGGACTAAAGGGGCATTGGTTTTCTCGCTGTCTGTTTCCAAGACTACCGCTTCTTTGGTCCTCGAGAGCAAAATGAGGAACCATCCATAGTACTAAATCCACGTTTTTCGGCATTCGATCCTTCCCTGGTCTTGGGATGGACGGATCGGACAGGAGCAAGAAAGAGGATTAGGAGGCTGGAGGCTAAAACATACGAAGAACAGGAGTCGCAGGAATGCAGGGGATGTCTAGTCTAGCGAAAAGAAGGACCAGGGGAGACAGGATAGCCATACTCCAATAATTGAGCGGCTGCCACAAAAAAAGAGGAGGTCAACCTATTCTCCAAAGCACCTGAAGGCAGAACAAGAAACAACCGATGGAAACTCATCAAGGAGAGAAGCAACCTAGAACTAAGGAGAAATTTCCCGACAGTCAGAACAATTAATCAGTGGAACAACTTGCCACAAGAAATTGCGGGTGCTCCATTCGCAGAGGCTTTAAAGAAGAGATCGGATAACCATTTGTCTGAAGTGGTATAGAGTTTCCTACCTGAGCAGGGGGTTGGGCTAGAAGACCTCCAAGGTCCCATCCAGTTCTGTTACTTTGTCCTGTTATTGGTTTTTTTTTTTTTTAAATATCAAGTTTCCTACAGGCCAGAGAATTAAAGCTATTGTAATATTACACCACACGATCCTACCATTGCCTCTCCTCATCGGATGCCCAAAAGGCCAGGCTAATCCGGCATTAAGCTGGTTTCCAATGCTACCAGCTATCATCAAAACAGAACGGTGTTTGATAGATTTTTTTTAAAAAAAATATTTTGAAGTTTTCTTTATTTGAGTCTTGCTATAAAAAAACGGCTCCTGGCAATATTTAGACGAGACGGATGCAAACTGTTAAATAAGTAAATAAGAGGAAAGGCAGAATATGAGCGCAGTTGTACAAAATCCGATGGATTTATTTCTAAACCCTTCCTGTCCTGAGTAGGAAGCAGACGTTTCAAATCAAAGAATATTGATAGATATTGATGCCACGGCAACAAATATTTTTATGGGGGGGGGGGGAAACCCCCCCCACCATTATTTATTAATGCAGCCACGCCGTGACTCATGAGTTTCACCCAGAAAAACATATTGGCCTCTGGTAACCAAACGGTGGGTTGTCCTTTCACCCCTTCTTCAGAAGGGCTCACCCACATAATTAATGTTGGGAAAAGTCTGTGGCCTATTTAATTGGGGCCAGATTTTTAGTAGATCAGAAAGATGCTTAATTGATTCATCTAACCAATGAAGCAACTAAATATTAAAATCATTCATTATATGCTGTGGACTTGACATAACTTGGAGAGAGGGAGAGAGGGAGAGAGGGAGAAAGAGAGAGGGAGGGAGGGAGGGAGAGAAAGAGGGAGACAGAAAGAGAAAGAGAGAGAGGGAAAAAAAGAGAAAAGAGAGGGAGGGAAAGCAAGAAAGAAAGAAAGAGAAAGAGAGCGAGAGAGAGAAAAAAGAGAGGGAGGGAGAGAGAGAGAAAGAGAAAGCGAGAGAAAGAAAGAGAGAGAGAGGGAGAGAGGGAGGGAGGGAGGGAGAGAAAGAGAGAGAAGAGAGGGAGGGAGAGAAAGAAAGAGAGAGAGAGAAAGGAAGAAAGAGAAAGAGAGAGAAAAGAGGGAGGGAGAGAGAGAAAAGGAGAAAGAGAGAGAAAAGGGAGAGAGAAAGAAAGAGAGAGAGAGAAAGAAAGAGAGACAGACAGAAAGAGAAAGAAAGAGAAAGAGAGAGAGAGAGAGAGAAAAGAGAGGGAGGGAGGGAGGGAGAGAGAGAGAGAGAGAAAGAGAGAGAGAGAAAAGAGGGGGAGAGAGGGAGAGGGAGAGGGAGAGGGAGAGAGAGAGAGAGAGAGAGAGAGAGAGAGAGAGAGAGAGAGAGAGAGACTCCCACCTCTCGTGATTGCCCCAACAGAGACCCCTTACTTAAATTCCATTTCTCCTTAATACAATAGAAGGCTTTAACATCGTACAGGGGCTTCCCTTGTTTTCCAATCTATCACATTTTCTGATTTTATGTTTCTGCATCCCAGGAATTTTCCACTGCAAACCAGCCCTTCGAACAGAATTTTAGGAGTGATGCCAACAGATCGTTTCTTTAGAACGCGATAGGAAAAATAAAAAACATCAGAGAATTGTTCCTTTCGGCCTATTTCCTACGAATCGTGCAACCTAGGTATCTAGTTTCAAATTACAGTGGAAAAATATGAAGAAGGGACTTTTGGATGGCCAAAAACCAAAGAAAACCTCTTAGCAATTTCCCGTAACAAACTGCGTAGCAT